GAATTCCAACCCTCACTGTACCCCCCACATCTTCCTTCTCCCTGGTTACACGCTCATGGGATTGGTTGAAAGAAAGAGTCTTACTCATCTAGTTTCCCCGCGAAGTACTTATGTGAAATGGAGGCAGTTTCAGCTTACTCCCCGTCTCACCTGTGGATGCGTACTTTGCCTGCTCTGTGGTCTCGTGCGCGGCCAACGACTAAGGAGTTTAGTCTTAATAAATAGCTTGGGAGCTCTAGGAGTCGGAGTCCCCTGTGAAAGGAACGGAGTTGGGTCCTACGCCTAAATCGGATGGTGACTAGATTCATTCCGTAGCACGGGATTCTGTAACAGCAAAAACAAAGACCCTCACTACCGGATCAACAGGAGATCCCGCATTTCAATCTGAGAAAGAAAGAGAGTCTCTCCCTAAAGTCTCATCCCACGGGCACATCTTGACTATGAAAAGCAGAGAGATAGATCACGCCTAAAAGCTGCCATTTCTATTCAATTCGATACCACCTTCCTTCCCACTTGAAATGGATTCAACAAAAGCTTCTTTCCTCTCGGCATAAGCGGTCTTAGCTTTTCCTGTTCACGACTCAATTTTCCCTTAGATAATTCATGAGAAATTTTCATATCTGACCAATTCAAAGCGAAAAATGAGATTGTTCTATCAGCAATTCATTGTTTTTCCACATCAATTTTAATCATAAAATATGCGCAGAGTCTTCAACAGCACATCTCTGTAACCTAATTTACAATGCGCCCTTCATCTTTACTAATTATTACTATTGTTACGACTCTAATATATAGGAAAATGCACACTTGAAGTTTAAGCCAAATTTCAACTTGATCACTCGAGATTAAAAAGTTCCAACTTAGTGACTTAGCGCTTGAGAGTTTTTTTCACCGATTTTGGATAGCACAATTTATGAGATGATGAAACAATCGATGTTTGCTAGTTTTTTTTGCACCAGTTTTGGGTGACCGATTTAGTGTAATTTTGAGCAATCTTCTCAACCCATCAAATCGACGAGTTTTGGCCGTTTCTTATTTTCTCTTCTAATTTTACCATTTATAAAATAAGTATTTCCAACCAATATATTTTGTTAAAAACTAAATTGTAAATAAAAATATATTAACTAAAAAATTATATTATAATTAAAAAAATACTTATAAGTAAAATATCACTTGTAAGATAAGAGAAAATACCTTATAATTAAAAATTACTTATAAGTAAAAAATCACTTTTATGTAAAAATTTGTTATAAAATAAAAATACTACTAATGAGAAAAATTCACTTATAAAATATAAAAAAAGTTACTTATGAATTAAAAAAATTCACTTGAAGTTATTTAAAAGTATAAAATTAATTTATAATTTTAAAATTTACTTATAAGTAAAAAATATTAACTTAAAATTTTAAATTAAATATTAATTTATATGTAAAAAAACTATTTATAAGTAAAGTATCACTCACAAGTAAAAAAATTCATATAAAAGAAAATTTGATTAAAAGATATACACATTATTTTATTCTCTCAAAAAAAAATTAAAATTGGTAAATAATAAATTCTCAAGCATGGGTCGGAGAGTTTTAAAAATCGCTACTAAAACCACTCAAAACCAATCCGCTCATAAACATTAAAAATCGATATTAAAAAATGCTCATAACAAGTATGACGAAACTCTCAATCTGACCCTTGAGTTATAATCGAGTGTTAATTTAATCCCACCATCCAAATTTGTCATCCCATTTGGCGATCAATCTACATTTCAAAACATGCTGTTAAATTGATGCTACGTGAACCAAACTCACGCTTCACCAGGGACAACACCTTCATTTTAAGCCTTTAAATTGAAAAAAATAAAGGGGTTGTTCTCTTCATGTTTCAATTTTTCGTCTTTCGTTTTGAATTCATTTTGAATTTTGTGTTTTGAGTGTCCATTTTGAGATTATTGAAAATTTGTTTTTTTTATCATTTTGAAAAAGTATTTTCAAAAATAAAAAAATTGAAAAACTTGCTCTCATCTTCCCCCCACTCTCCCTTTGTTGTATCCCTTGCAAGGCCGCCGACGCCAAAGACCACGGCGGAGCTGTCTGGACGAGTAGCGAGCTGCGCTCCCCGCGATCACTGGCTTCTTCATCTCTTTTGTTTGTTTTTTTATGAAGCTGTTGATTTGGGTGCGGTGGTTGGATGCGGCGTCGTCAGCTTCTTCTATTGTTGTAACCGTGGCAGTGGTTTTGGGTCGCAACATTGCCGGTGGTGGTTTTGGCGGTGCGGCGATCGTGGTGTGGTGCAGCGGCTAAGGCTGTGATTTTTGTTGGTGGGGTAACTGAAAACAACCAAAACATGTTTTGAAAATTTTGACTTTATTTTAACTGAAAATGCCAAAAATGACATTTTTGACTTTTTGATTTTCTTTGTAAATTTTAAACTAGTTTTTGGAAATTCGTTTTTGGAAATTGGTAAATAAACGTGTTTTCACTGTTTTGAAAAATTGAAAACAGAAAAACAGGATGAAAACGACAAAGAAAACATCCCCAAAGTGTTTTAAACCCAAGTTAGTACCCTTCACTATTTTTACTTTTGCTCTTTACTTTTTGTAGAAGAACTTTTGAATGAAACTACTTTAATTTTTGCTTGAAAATTCAAAAGAGCCCCCCATTCCGTAAGTGCTTTTAGAGAAAAATCATATTGAACCGACTTCATCTAAAAACTCTCTTAACTAACTAAAACCATTTTCATAGAATTATTTACATAGGTCCCAAGCAGTTTTGAGTCTTAATGGGTGGCCCATGGATCTGGACAAACTCATTCGTAACTTATGAGACTATGTTGGAACTTCTTAAACCTTAGTTACCGATTTGAAATTTCTCTTGAACTTCAATATCCAAATGTGTATTTTACTCCGTACCGTATGACTACTATTTAAAATTATAGGGATGGCAACAGGATGACCGAGCATGCACACCGGAGATTTTTATCATCTCAATCCCCATTGGGGTGGGTGGGGACTACCCCACTTTCATGTTTTATAGTAAATTCTATGAGGTATTTGAATATTTAAAAATACAAAATTTTAATAATGAACTAAAGCTGAAAAATATCAATCATATTAGAAAGAATGTCTATAAATTAAAAAAATTAAGCTCATATTTGACCCTCATTAAAAATATAATTCATTTTTTTCTCATCAACCACACATTTTTCAAAAAATGGCTATTTAAAAACATATTTTTCCCAAATTCTCATTATAAAGAGGATCAAATAAGGGTTAAATTTTAAATGAGTCGGAGCTTGGAGGTACAAGGATCTTTGGGGCTTGAGTTTGGCAAGTATAATTATAACATGTTTAGTAAATGTGCTTTGGATGATGGATAAGTGTATCATAGTTGTGGTATTTACAAAATGTAGGATTAAAATTAAGTTTGATATTAATTTTTAAATTATAATATTGTTACCAAACAAGGCTTCGTATTAAACTTAGATTTCTATAAACTATTTTATTTCTAGTTTTTTATTATTAAAATCATATTAATCATAATTTTAATAAAGTATATATAATTTCTTTTATATATATATATATATCAAAAGGATTTTGATATTGATATTGAAGCAACCACCCCACCACGGGAAATGAGGAACTGTTTATAACAGTGGAATTATTTTAGCAAATATATATATATATATCAAAAGGATTTTGATATTGATATTGAAGCAACCACCCCACCACGGGAAATGAGGAACTGTTTAGACAAGACAAGACATCCCCCCTCCTCACTAACCTCTCGCTTCGGGATAATTAGGATAAGTAGGCCCCACTTCCCCCATCCCTTTCCATTCCATGTTTTGAGTCACGTCTTCATTTTCATTTCATTCTTCTATTCATTTTTAATTATATATTTTTCAATAAAATAATATTTTTATCACATCAATAGCTTTTCATTCTTTTTCAACCACATATGTGCATCACAGCACAAAAAATGCATCATTTCCATTTTAACGTGCATCAAACACACTTTTAAAAAAACATATCTAATTAATTCAACCTTCTTATGTGTTAATTTCTAAGCCCTCGATGATCATTATTGTTTAAAAATAATATTTTAAATATTTTTTTAGAACGTATGATTAAAAAAATTGAATTTACGTAAAAATATGTAAATTAGTGATTGAAAATAAGAATGAGAAATAATTTATTTTATTTTAAAGGGAATCAAATTGGGGTTAAATTTCCATTGTTAATTATTGAAATATCACATTATTTCATTTTTAAAATAAATCATTGTCCGCGAGATAGTATACCCATGTTTGGTACACATTAAAATTTTCATTTTCATTTTTCTACTCATTTTCAACTAAACATTCTTCAATAAAATAATATTTTCAATCACATCAATAACTTTTCTTTCTTTTTAAACCACAAATTCTCCATCAATCTATTATTTCAAAATATATTTTTTTAGAATAATGTGGATCAAACACACCGGAACAATACGGCCAAATAATCTGAACCGCTCATTGTCGTCACATGATAGTTAACGGCCCCAACTCTACCACTGTGCAAGTCAACCTTCCTGTCGCACGTTAATTGAAGACCACCTATGCGTTATTACCCCGAAAACAGTCCCTGTAAAGATAAGACTCTCCCCCTCTAGAGTAAAATGGAGTCTCGCGTGTTTACGGGCGCCACCGCCACTCGCGGCCTCCCACTTCTCTGGAAGCCGGTGGCGAGGCTCACCACCACCTGCAGTCTCCCCACTTTGAGGCCCAATGGAGACTTCAGCAACGGCGGGAATTTATTGTGGTTAAGACAGCTAAGACCGGCTATTTTACTTGAAACCTCGCCGGTGAACGTGATATCTCCGGTATTGAAGAGGGAAAGTCTTCGTCATTGCCTGGCCGCGGCTTCTTCGCCGGCTGAAGGCAGCGATTCCGCCGGGTGAGGTCCGTTTGTATATCTGCCTCTTTAACCGACCCGTTTTCGTGCTGCTGTTGTCCTGACCCGTTTTATGCAGGGAGCTAAGGTGGCCCCCGTCGGGTTCTTCGGAAAGTACCCTGCTCTCGTAACCGGGTTCTTCTTCTTCATGTGGTACTTCTCATGCCTTGACACCATAAACATTGCGCCCCATTGCTGGTTGGGTTATTATAACAGTGGAATTATTTTAGCATCAGTCATCGAACTTATAAAGTTATTTCAATTAAGTCACTAACCACGCATTTATTACTCGATTTCACCAATTGGGTGAAATATCCACCTAGAATAGATTGAAGGTTATATTGGAATAGATAAATCAGTTTAATAAGTGTTTTCTTGCTTATTAATGTCAAAGTTAAGTGACATCAATTCATATGCCCATGTTACCATTGTTCTGAAATGATGTATTTGCCCTTTGTTTCTGCTAGGTATTTCTTGAACGTGATATTCAACATTCTCAACAAGAAGATCTACAATTACTTCCCGTATCCTTAGTACGCATTTCTATGTAATTTTACAAAAAAAAAAAAAATCTCGGTAATTGATGTCTTGTAGAGTGTAAAATAAGCTTTTTTTTTCTTATTTTACACTTATTTTGTTACGCTTATATTAGTGATGATGAAATGTGGGTCGTCTGTGCAGTTTTGTGTCGGTTATTCATTTATTCGTTGGTGTGGTATACTGCTTGGGGAGTTGGGCTGTTGGCCTTCCTAAGCGAGCTGTAAGTTAATTGTTTTCAGTATAAGTTTGCGTAAAGCTTTGGGTCGACACAATTTATGCTCATGATCAAGAAGATGAAACGATATCTGAAATGAAAATGTCAAAACTAACGACAGTCGATAGCCCATTCGTTAGTTTTGAGGACTAAATTTGAATAGATAAATGTATCGCTGAGTAGGCAAAGGTTCTCTTGAGCAAAAATTGTGCATGATATAAGACTTTGATGGAAAAGGGAATTTGACGTGTACTTGAGAGGGCGTGTTAAAAGATTAAATTTAAATAGATGAATATTAGACAATCGTAATGGCTTTCTATATTGCTTTTGCTACTATTCGCAGCATCTTCATTTTCATCGTTTTATGAATTTTACCATGTTCCTGTTTATTGACTCGTGACTTGCGTTATTTGGGGGTTCTCCATAGCCGATTGACTCAAACATCTTGAAGTTGCTCATCTCAGTTGCCGTGTGCCATGCACTTGGACATGATACTAGCAATGTCTCGTTTGCAGCAGTTGCAGTCTCATTCACCCACACAATCAAAGGTGTCCTACGACCTAATTTAGATCATTGTGTAGGAAACAACTTCTGTATTACCATATGGATTGCACTGTTCTTTAACTACACGTCTCATTCTCTTTGTTTCACTGTGAATCAGCCCTTGAGCCTTTCTTCAATGCTGCTGCTTCTCAATTCATACTTGGACAATCGATACCTCTAGCATTATGGCTGTCACTGGCTCCGGTTGTCCTTGGTGAGCTCTGATTTTTTTCATCACGCACTTTCTACTTGACTGATATAAATATAATACAATAAAAAATGGCATATAATCTTGTGAATGTTACATCTTTGTCTCTGCAAATATTTGGAAAAAATGCAGTTAAAATTTCATAATGTTGCAACAAATTTTGTGGTTTAATTTTACAAATGAATACAGGTGTGTCCATGGCATCACTGACTGAATTGTCTTTCAACTGGACGGGATTCATCAGTGCTATGATATCCAACATTTCCTTCACTTACAGGAGCATATATTCGAAGAAAGCTATGGTTAATGATGCAACTTTCATTTATCTTCTCTCTTCTGTAATCCTATTAAGAATATGCTGTTAAGAGCCTATTTTGCTATGCTCATATAATTATATAAATACTCTTAAAAAAACATTTTTTAAATTGATCAAAGTTGGAAATTTTAACATAACATGTTTTCAAACTAAACTTTACATTTTTTCTTCTTAAAGTTTAGCCAAAGATTCTCTAAAGCTGGAAGCAGCTTCGTTCATATATCATTGTTAATGATTTTCTAATGAATTCTTGTTTTGCAGACTGATATGGATAGTACTAACTTGTATGCCTACATCTCTATTATTGCCCTCTTCGTCTGTATTCCACCTGCCATAATTGTGAGTCACAGTCGATGAATGGGCATATTATATTCCTGTAATTATGTCTCTCACACCCATTTCTTTGCTTCCTATATATTTCCACTGCTACTTACTTTTTTGAGCAATCACAGTTTGAGGGACCACAACTGATAAAGCACGGGTTTAGTGATGCAATTGTTAAAGTGGGCTTAACAAAGTTCATCACAGATCTCTTCTGGGTGGGAATGTTTTACCACCTCTACAATCAGGTACTTGAACTTTGGCCTTAGGCTTTAAATTATGTGATCTTTCGAAACTGGATCTTTGTAGCATGTTTTTTGTGTTCTTAATGAAGTCTTCTTCTTGTTTAACTAATGAATAAATGATTGATAGAACTGCTTTTAGTTATGTGATAGTTTTCCCCAACCAAGATGAGGATTGAGAATTTTTTTCCCCCTTTTTTTTTTTCCTTCTCCACTTTTCAGCTGGCAACAAATACTCTAGAGAGAGTGGCACCACTTACGCATGCAGTCGGAAATGTGTTGAAATGTGTTTTCGTGATTGGCTTCTCGATCTTAGCCTTTGGTAAACTCACCTCGGCTTAACACGATCGTGTGATGTGTGTACAAGTAAATTCTAATTCCATCGTTTGGGTAACTATGTAACTTTGCCGGCAACAAGATTTCATTACAAACTGGCATCGGTACTTCCATTGCAATTGCTGGGGTTGCAATCTACTCCTTCATTAAAGCCAGGATGGAAGAAGAGAAAAGGGTAAGTTCAACTGTAAGAATAAGATTTGAATGTTGGTGCTACACAATAGGACACCAAAGTCCCGATGCATATTAGAAGACAACCTTTCTTGTTTAAGTTGTTTTTTTTCACTGATATGCAATGATATATTGTTGCTAATCTTGAATTCAGTCTGGTTCATTGCTACATAGGGTAGAATTGTTTCATGAATTTATAAATGGGGCTCTAGAATCAACTTTGATAATGTTAGGAGATTTAGTAGGGAACCCGATTATTGCTCTCATAACGTGCAATCTGTGACTTTTTTCGACTCTAGCTGTGCATTCAGTATCCTGATACTTACCATTTTTTTGGCAGCAAATGAAAGCAGCATGAACATTGAGAAGAGAAGCAGGGAAATGAAAAAAATCTTGGTGTACATTTTGATATTCATCCTCAAGTGAAATGATAAATGGAGTTCCTTTTCGTTGTGCAGTTATAGATTTCCCATTAATTTTCTTAAATTCAGAATTCGAATAATTTCAAATTTTCAATATCCTGGTGGAATAATGTATAATTTCTCCTTCTCGCCAACAATGCGATTACGAGCTTTGGAAGGGATTTACTAGAATGTGATAGGTTAGATTACGTTAATTGAAAATTGTTCGCTGAAAGCTGGCTGTCTTGGAAAATTCTCTTCCTTGTCAAGTTTTGAATCTGTAAATAAATATTTACAAGTCGTTTCGTATGCTTGATGCATACATAAAGACAAACTCAAGGGAGACAGTCGGTGCCTTGATGGCTCAAGAAGGTGCCTGTGATTGACTTGGAAAAGCAGATGATACTATTCATTCGTTCTTCCTACATGCGCTACCTACTCCATAGAACTCGTCATTTTAAATGCTGCATCCACATTAGTTTCGAACGATTGGGTGGTGGAAGCTTCTATAATCTGACGCGTGGATTTGTGTTACAGAAATGAAATGATATTTGTACAGATAAATTGTACAATCAATTTACAGGTGTTGAGATGACAGCATCTGATTGACTGTTTTAACATTATTTTTTTGTACAAAATTCAATGAAATGTTGCTAAACTCATTTTTGCAATTTATCTGTACATGTAGCATTGTCCATATTGTTATTGCTCGAAATATTTCAACTTATGTTTCGAACGTTCTCTATCAGCCTTGATGGTATACAACCGGATATTAGTGAAAAATTCCTTTATTTGTTCTTTTCAGCAACTCCTTAATATCACTATGAGTTGTACATCTCGTTGAGTGCATGATTTAGAAAGTCGAAAGTACACGATGACAAATGCCCTATGTAAATAGGGATAGTGGCAAGGAGGGAGGAAGGGATCATCCCTACCTCTGTATAAGTGATGGTATCAAAGAGAACTCGTTTTAGCTGATTTGCCGTAGACCAAGTAGCAATCTTGTAAAGAATGTCACAAAGGTTGATAGGCCTGAATTCCTTAATATGGCATTTCACCTTCGACATGAGCTTAATGACGCACGTTTATTGGGTGCTCTCAGGCAAAACCTCGTACTTTTAGTCCCACTATTTTTCAATGGATAAAGCTGTTTGTACACAATGTGTACGTACACATGTCTTACATGAATAGTGTGATCGAATATTTTATTGTGTGTGGGATCCCCCCTCCATGTGAGGGGGTGTAAAAAATTGTGTGAATGATTATGTACATGTAGCATGATTGTTTTCCAATTCCATTGGTAGAACACATGATATAGTCTGATCCTAGTGTTTTGAAAGCACTCATGCTGAAAAGAGCACCTCGCACTTCCAGAAAAATACGTCTTCTTTGAACCATCCGCGCTTCAAAACACACTTCTGGAAAAAAAAGAATTTTTGATTCGAAATTCCGTTTTTCTTTTTATAAGTAATTTTTTGTTTGCTTACCTGATGGGACGTTATAACTATCATTTCAATTACACAATTAGAATTTATATTATTAAAAATAGCTAAAAAGAAACTTTTAGCATTTAAGTTGAACTTAGTATGCACTTGTGTGCGAGTTCTCAAGGTCGTAACTTTTTCTATACTTCTCATCGACAATCTTTTCTTGTAAGCCTTATTCAACGATTGTTTCTATCTCATTTTCAGCCATTTTCTCTTTTGCATTTTAATTCTATAATTCGATTATCTTCTCTCCTGTTTATTTTACATTTTTTACATATCTGGGGACCCTATTCACCTCTTTGAGCTTCTATTGAATCGAGAAATATATTTGTTTTATATGTAAGTTACGCCAACATTTTTGTACGCATCAAATATACAAGTTGTAAGTATTTCTAGGAGACGTGATTAAAATCGGCACTACTATCATTAGTTATTTTAGAGTAGTTCTTTCTTCACGTGTCTTTGTAAAGATATCATATCCCAAAATTGCAAAATACTTCATTTTTTAATTTTTTTTATTCCTCTACACAAGGTGGATCCAATTCGTATAAGCCCACATGGATTCCATGATAAGTCCAAACTTAGTGAAGCCCATCATAACAAAAAATCAGAACCCAGTCCCTAAGAATTAAGATCGCCGATAGGGAAAAAGGAAAAGATTCCCAAGAAACAAAAGATAACACGACTCGGGAAACCCATAAATACCGAAAAACCCAGAAACAAATAGAAAGTCTCCGAAATTTAGCGCCCAAAAGATGGATCCCATTACATGTAACGTGTTTTAATGCCACCCAATTACCAAAAAAAGTCAATTCGTGAAACAAAATTCAAAAAGAGAAATAAATTTTAGAAAAATATTATGGAATTTGATAGAATCAAGAACGAGAAGGACTTTCACTACTTCTACTGTTCTTTTTGTGTTGGTTTTAATTTCCTTTTTATTAATTATAATAATAATAGTAATCGATTCCTTGTTGATCTACATTATTCTTTTGTTTCTTCTTTTTCAATTATTAATTTTCTATTTCTCTCTCTATATTTTCACATTCACAATTACTCCCACATTTATTTTGTATATTATTTGCAATACATCTCATGCCTTTTGTCAAAAATTTCTCCTTTTTGTTTTCTTTTCCTCCAAGATAGGAATTTTTGTTGTTTTAGCCCTAGTTTTCGATTTCTAGGGTTCAGATTGATTTTGGAATGGAGCCGGAAGGAGACATCAACAGGATCCTGAATCAGAGCCCGCCGGATGGCCTGAAGAGGCCCAAGCGTCAGATGAAGACACCGTTTCAATTGGAAACCCTTGAGAAAACTTATGCTAGTATGTCTATTTTTCTTTTATAATTTATGCACAAAATGTTTCTTGTTGGTTTGTCTGATCATACAGTGAATTTTTGAATTCTTTAGACTTATGCATATGTTTATGTGCAATTAATCCGATATTTGAATGTTTCTGTGTTTATTTTAGCAATTTTGTGGTCTTTTTTTTGATATTTTCTTGATGAAGATGTGTGTAATTGCTGTTGAAATCAGTATAAGTTCTGGTAGAATCAAAGTCATTCTTTGTTATTTGATGCGTGGAAATAGACATTTATATAAGTTCGATGTAATGAAAATCTAAATTGACCAAGTTTTGGTTTTATGGTGGATAATGCAATAGAGATGTCAGATGTGTAATTTGCACATTTATGTGTGGGTGTGTACACTATATGTATGCAAATGCAATGACATATGTTGGTCTGTTTCTTTTGTTGTAAGAAAAACTGGATTTCATTGTTGACATTTACTTTGTAATTTTATGTAGTGGAGATGTACCCATCTGAGGCAACTCGAGCAGAACTATCGGAAAAACTTGGTTTATCAGACAGGCAATTGCAGATGTGGTTTTGCCACAGGAGGTTGAAGGATAAAAAGGAGGCAACTGGTGTGTCAGCCATGAAGCCATGCACCCCTGCGTCAGTTCGGAGGAAGGGGTCGATGGAGTCACCTAAAGATGAATTGATGGTAGCTGAGATTGGCAGAAAACATGGCTCGGGGTCCGGCTCCAGAGGCTCGGGTTCAAGTTCCAGTGAGTTTGATAATGGAGATGATATGCCAACCGTGCCAATTAGATATCCTAGGTCCATAATGGAGCGAAGAGTGATAACTTGCGTGGAGGGACAGTTGGGAGAGCCATTACGTGAAGATGGACCAATTCTTGGGGTCGAGTTCGATGAAGTGCCGCCTGGTGCATTTGGTGCACCTTTAGGTATATATTCTGACCTGTTATTGTGGATCTTCACACAGACATGATTGTATGGAGTTGCTGCTAAGTTTTGTGCCTGTCGTGTAACTTGTATTTCTGCTAAGTTGAGTACCTGCATTGTAACTTGTGTCTATTGACTAAGATATGTAGCAACATTTAAAAATAATATCAATTGAAGTCTTATAACATCCATTTGGCTAATTTGTCAATTCTGATAAGTAATTTTGCTTTTTTATTTTCTTACTTCTCTCTCTCTCTGTCTCTCTCTATATATATATATAGGTGTGTGACTTGAACTTGACTGGAACTGTTTCCGGAAGACTTTCGGAGAGAACTTTTGTTGTGGTTAATTATATTGCTTGAGAGTACACCGTTTGTAGCCTTAGACATGAAACTAGCACTGTTTCCCGGCATCAAAGAGACCCTACCTCTTTGTGTCTGCGAATGATACTCTTGATGTGTATGGACAGTTTCTCATGCATCAGTTGGTTTGTCTGTATTGTATTGGTGAATAAAATTTTAACTAATTGATTGTAGCCTAATTAGGGAATGTAATTTTCTTGCTTTCTATTGCCGGTGTTGCTGTACAAGTTTGCATTCACATTTCTATTGCCGGTGTTGCTGTACAAGTTTGCATTCCCATGTGCCGTAGTTAGATACTAACATTTCTTTATCCTGCTTACAAAACAGTGCCAGCTGAGCTTCAGGACAGATACAGGCATTCTTACGATGGCAACTTATTTGATCCATATGATGTCAAGCAAAACAAAGTTTGTTCTCTATCTTCTTTATATATATTTATGATTTTACCTATACATTATTTCCAAAAAAAATATATTATATGATGATTTTTGAACTTCCCATATAAAGAAAAGAAATAGAAAGAGAGAGACTAGAAACGATATCTGTTATGTCGAAACATCTACAAGAGTTGGCTTATACTTATTCAAATACATATATCTAGTTTGACTCCTCTCTCCAAATCAATAATTAATCTATTTTTCAGGAATCCTGTTTTTTTTTGTAAAAAGCTTATCAATGCATGTGCTGCCATTTTACTACAGACAATAACTTAGTTTTTAGTCAGACAAACAAGTGATTTGATGTTTAATGCATCTTGTTCCAGGATGTAACCAGTGTTCTACGTGAACCACCTGAACCTAAGATTAGGTCTGATGCATACGGACATGTTGCCAAGTCTTACCTCTGTAATTCCCCAGTTGATGGTTCTACTGCAAAGAGTTTGTCACTCATGCACGGAAATGGGCGCCCACATAGGGAATATGTTTTTGAAGGCCAGGTGTCAAGTGCTGACTTATCGTCTCAATCGGGCAGGCAGAGGCAGCCCTCCTCACCTCCAAGGTATGGTGACTTTATTCCACACGATGAAGATACTTCACTGATGGAGCGAAAACGGAAGGTATTTTGAAGTAGTTAATGTTCTTTCGTAACTTTCGATTGCCAGATATCTCAGTTTTGTCTTGCTGGTTCAGTTAAATTCATTCTTACCTGTTGCAGATTGATGAAGCTAGAAGTGGAAGTGAAGTTCAGGTCCATGAAAAGAAGATTAGGAAAGAACTTGAGAAGCAAGATCTTTTAAGACGAAAGGTTTGTACTTTATAGGAGAAAACTTCCTATCTTTCAGATAATCACTCCCTTACAAGGGCTTCATCTTGAATTTCTCGTGTACTTTATAGAAGGATTACATGAGAAAAGTACTGCTTGCCCTAAAATCTAACAATACTGCCTTTTTAATAGAGGGAAGAGCAAATGAAGAAAGAAATGGAGAAGCAAGACCGCGAAAGAAGGAAGGAAGAAAAGAAGATGATGCGAGAACAACTAAGGCAAGAGGAAAGATTTCAGCGTGAGGAACAGCGCGAGATGGAAAGAAGGGAGAAATTCATGCAAAAGGAGCTTTTGCAGGTAGGTTTGATTTATGCTTTGCTGCTTCTATTTGACTATTTATTTTTCTGCATCTGGTAGATACACGGATACATTTCTCTTCTTTTTTCCTCTCCAGGCAGAGAGGAGGAAACAGAAAGAAGAGCGGCAAAGAGAGAAGGAAGCAGCAAGACAGAAAGCTGCAGTGGAAAGAGCAATGGCACGAAGAATTGCTAAGGAGTACATGGAGCTAATAGAAGATGAGCGTCTGGAACTAATGGAATTGGCTACTTCAAGCAAAGGATTACCTTCAATTCTCTCTCTCGATTATGATACCCTGCAAAATCTTGAGTCATTCCGAGGTTGCCGTTGCTTGCCATAATTTTTATGAAATTTTCTTGCGATTCTGTATTTCTAAAATTACAAATATTAAATATATATCTTTTCAATCTATGCTGAGATGCCCTCTTTGTTTGTGTTTGTATTTCTTTCAAGAAGACTAGGAGAATCAAGTTGTGACCAATCAGTAAAGCACCGAGTTTATAACAAACTGTTTTGATGCTTGTTTGATTAGTCTTCTCCTTTTTTATGGCTTGAATAATTTGTACACTGATCTAATGTTTGAGCTTAAAATGATTCATTTTGAAGGAGATTCCAATTAATAAAATTGAAATTAATGCATTTTACCGTCTCTTAGAGATGGTGACAGTTTTTACATTTGAAACTCAAACCGATTTTTTTTTTTTTTAGCTATTATTTTCCCATTATTTCTAATTCTTCTACATGGCAATCATGCTGCTCTAATATGACAAGGCATTGGACATTTTTCATTTGTTGTCAGTGACAATGCTATCATACTATGCTTTACCCAACAATTTGATAAGAAGTGAGAAATTGCTATTTTCTTCATAAAATCACGTAAATTGTTTTGGTCTGTTTTAATTGCTTGAAGTTTCTTAGCTGCTGAAAGGCAACTTTTTCTAATTCAGATGCTTTGAGTGAATTCCCACCGAATTCTGTGAGATTGGAAAAGCCATTTGCTATTCGACCTTGGATTGATTCAGATGAGAATGTTGGGAACTTGCTCATGGTATGTTCCCCCTACCTTTTATTCTGCCTGGATGTAGTCTCTGAAGCATATTTTTTATGTACATGTTAGTTGATGTTCCTCGATGGTTCTCTTACATAGGTAAGTTCAAGTTCTTGTAGAGTTGACTGTGTGCGCAATTCTTTTTTTTGTGGGTGGTGGGGAGGGGGTGCGCTAAGAATTATGCTGTAAATAAGTGGTTGTCTAAATGTATCCCCAATGATATGTCTCATCTTTGCATTCTTCTGTCTAATGTTACCAGAAGTATATCTGTAAGTCAGTCTATGCATCACAGTTAAAAATGAATTTATTCTTTGCAGAAGTGCTAGGTTCTGTTTACTGAGTTCAGTATTGCCGTGTTCTGTTTTTCTTTTTCAGTTTATAAAGAAGAGTTGTTAATTTCTTGTAACAATGATTCATCTCTGAGTTTTACTGTACACTTACCTTTTCAGGTTTGGAGATTCTGCTTTGTATTTGCTGATGTTCTTGGGCTTTGGCCTTTTACCCTAGATGAATTTGTCCAAGCTTTCCATGACTATGTGAGTTTTTTGCAACGCTTTCGCTTGACCTATGCGAGTTTGCTCAAATTTTTTACCTCTCTGTATTGTTTTTTGGCTTGTCGTCTTGCTTTCTTATTCAGAAAGGCACATAATGCATATACTAATTCTTTTATTCCTTCTTTTTATCCATCTATTTTCTATTTTTTATTTACAAAGGGAAGGGAAGGGGGGACGGAGGGTGTACTATGTAACAAGTATTTATTTTGCCTCTTAGGATTCAAGATTGCTTGGTGAGGTACACATTGCTCTTCTCAAACTCATTGTAAAAGATATAGAAGATGTTGCGAGAACCCCTTCTGGTGGGCCTGGAACAAATCAATATACTTCTGTTAATCTTGAAGGTGGACATCCTCAGATAGTTGAAGGGGTAATTACTCTAATGCATTCTACAGCTCTCATGCTTTCTTCAATTGCTTCATGTTGGATGCTTAGTCTTTGTATGAAATCTTATGTAATCATATTGCGTGTCAGGCATATCTATGGGGTTTTGACATATGCAACTGGCAGAAGCACTTAAATCCATTAACATGGCCAGAAATATTGCGGCAATTCGCACTCTCTGCTGGATTTGGCCCACATTTGATGAGAAAGAGTGTTGAAAGAGTGTGTATACGTGATAAAGCTGAGGTGCTTCTTATTTATTGTTTCCCCATCTGTGTCAACTTTTGTCACTTGGATTGGCTAAAAATCAAATATTAAGTTCATAATTACATGGACCTGATACTTTTCGTTTTTCATTAACACGTAAATATGATCCTTATACTTTATGGTGCATGAATCTTGCAAAATAGTGAATAGCAAACTTGGATGTGATTTATACACACAAACACAAACCCCACTTAAATTAGAAGAATAATTATCAAATAGTTTGGCATATGAGATAAGAGTCCTAATAAATAAGGGGATGGTGATCGGATTATCTGTATATAAAATCGTTGGAAAGGGTGGTATGCAGTGAATTTGTGATACAGAAAAACATTGTAGTTCTAGACTGGTCATAATATGTCATGCAAGAAGAGAATTTAATCCCATAAAATTATAGCATTGATGTGCTTTTGATATGATTGATATGTGTTCAAATATTCAAGTTAATATTTCCTTTTCCTTCCCCGCTCCCCCAAAATGGCACCTGCTAGATAATCTTAATAAGCTGCTGATGAATTATAATAGCTGCATCCTTACAACAGTTGAATTCCCCCCCAGAATAAAGGTTGTGAAGATGTAGTATCTACCCTACGAAATGGTTTAGCTGCTGAGAATGCTGTTGCAATTATGCAAGAAAAATGTGCCCTTCAACGCAGAACAAGGCATCGGCTGACACCAGGAACTGTGAAATTTGCTGCTTATCATGTTCTTGCTCTTGAAGGAAGCAAGGGACTGAATGTTATAGAGCTGGCAGAAAAGATTCAGGTTAGAATAAACTATTGCTTGGTCGCTCCTGCACTGGATAGGGTAGTCTCTCTCTTTTTTTTTTTCTTTTTTCTGATTTAAGTTTCATTCTATGAAGAAATCTGGGCTCCGTGACCTGACAACAAGCAAGACACCAGAGGCTTCTATTTCTGTTGCTTTGTCTAGAGATCCGATACTTTTTGAAAGAATAGCTCCTTCAACGTATTGCGTACGTCCTGCTTTCAGAAAGGATCCCGCTGATGCTGAATCAATACTTGCCACAGCCAGGGAGAAGATACAGAAATATGCAAATGGTTTTTTAGCTGGCCAGAATGCTGATGACGAAGAAAGGGATGATGATTCTGCCAGTGATGTGGCGGAGGGTTCAGAAGTTATTGGTTTAGCAACTCCATCTGATGCGAAGAAAACAAGGGAGTCTTCCAATGAAGTTGGTGCATCAGTGAATGGCCCTGATGGAACTGTTCTTCACAATGACAATGGTAACATTCTTTACATTTTCATATGTTTCCCAAGTGTGTAGTGATGAAAATGCTACCTTACCTTAATGATCAAACAATGATGTTGCGGTTGAAGGTATTGGGGCAGTTTATCGTGACCAAGAAGGTCTAGAGATTGATGAAAGCAGATCGGGTGAACCCTGGGTTCAAGGACTTACTGAAGGAGAATATTCTGATCTATCTGTTGAGGAGCGTCTCAATGCCCTTGTTGCCTTAATTGGGGTTGCAAATGAAGGGAATTCTATCCGTCTAATTCTTGAGGTTAGTTTTCAATCAATTCTCGTCCACAATATGTGATGCAATGCATATGAAAATTGAAAATAGGATATACAAGACCTTGTAATCTTCTGTGTTTTCTGACAATGAGATCGTTGCAGGATCGGTTGGATGCAGCAAATGCTCTAAAAAAGCAAATGTGGGCAGAAGCTCAACTAGAGAAGAGGCGTATGAGAGAAGAGACGATAACAAAGTTCAATGGTACTTCTTTTAATGGTGATGCAGAAAGTGTTCAAAGCTCTGTTACAGAAAATAAAATGTGCAACGCATCTCTAACAACCGTAGGGAAAGCTCAATCTTCCTTTGCAGCAGATGATGTTCATAATTCCACTGATAATCCAGCACAAGGTACCTCTACGAGTCAGTTACCCTACCACCCAATCCAGCAGAATGGATGTATGACAGAAAGGTCACGCTTGCAGTTGAAATCTTATATTGGCCACAGAGCTGAAGAAGTTTATGTATACAGGTCCCTGCCTCTTGGTCAAGATAGAAGGCACAATCGTTACTGGCAATTTGTTGCCTCTTCTAGCCAGGACCCTGGTTCTGGCAGAATCTTTGTTGAATCACCTGATGGCAATTGGATGCTAATTGATTCAGAAGAGGTATATTCATGTTTGTTTAGCCTTTCTTTCATTTCTTTCTTCCTGGCCCCATGTATGTGTGCATGCCTTCTCATTTTGTGGCATTGATATATTAACTCATTTCCTTCTTCATGTAGGCATTTGATACTCTTTTGACATCCTTGGATATGCGTGGGACTAGGGAATCACATTTGTGTATAATGTTGCAGAAGTCTTTGGTTTCATTTAGGTCATGTGTCCATATCCTAGACCGAAGTAGAAACAGACGACGAAATGAAGTTGCTGATGTTCATTCTATCTATGGTCATGGCGCTGGTGCTGAGAATTCTGGCTCCATTTGCAACACAAATGCTGATACAAGGGAGCCGTCCTATTCTTTTAAAATTGATCTTGGGAGGACTGAAACAGAGAAAAAGAACGCTTTGAAGAGAGATGAAGATTTTCAAATTTGGATGTGGAAAGAGTGCTTCAACTCATCAATTTTACATGCCTTGGCTTATGGGAAGAAAAGATGCTCACCTATATTGGGAGTTTGTGATCTCTGCTTTGATACTTACCAGTTCAAAGAGGATCTCTGCACTTCTTGCCATAAAAAATTCGGCAAAGCTGATATTAATCAGGAAGAAAAAGTAAAAGTTGGGAAATTTGGTTTGATATTGTTGAACTCGTCGCTCCCGCTGCGGATCAGATTGATCAAGGCCCTGTTAAGTTTCTTTGAGGTTAGGGAACAAAGTACTTTGTGAACATGGTTTTGTTAGCACTTACATAGAGAGTGTTTGGCGGGGATTAAAATTATATTTTTAGTAGATTGTGATAGAAGTTTTTGAAATGTGTGGTTGAAAAGTTGTGGGACCCATGAAAGATGTGGTTAATATTGATTGTTTGACTTTGACTTGGATTAAAATCAGATTTTAATCCGGACCAAACAGGGCCTTAATATTAAACACGTATTCTGGGAAATGAATTATTTAATCATTTAATCGTGCATGTTACTGTACAAACATGCTTCATCTATTGCTATATTATATTCAGAGGGTGTTTGGTGAGGATTAAAATTAGATTTTTAGTAGATTGTGATAGAAGTTTTTGAAATGTGTGGTTGAAAAGTTGTGGGACCCATGAAAGATGTGGTTAATATTGATTGTTTGACTTTGACTTGGATTAAAATCAAATTTTAATCCAGATCAAACAAGGGCATAGTTTTCTGAAGTTTAGTTTGTTGTACACATTGCCTTAATTTTCTACGGTGTTGGTGGTTTAGATATTTTTTGTTTGTAACTTGACAGGTTACTTTGAGGGGTGTAGTTCATTGTACGAATTGCCTTAATTTTTATTGTACTGGTAATTAGATGTTTTGTTTTTTAACTGACAGGTTTCTGTTCCATCTGAGGCTCTGCAATCTTCTTGGACGGAAGACTGTAGGAATACTTGGGGCTTAAAACTGTTGAATTCTTCATCCACCGAGGATCTTCTACAGGTTCTTATCTCTATTTATTTATTGGTTCAGTTTTACATGTCCAGTTGATATTTAGACATGAATTCTTGTCAAGGTTGGCACTTTGCTCCTTTTAGTTATCTTTTCAGATATAGGCACATCATATCTCTTTGGCTCTATTTTTGTTTATGTTTAATGCATTAAACTTTTAGAATTAGAAGGACTCGAAAATGACCGATGCATTGAATTGGAGATATTTACAATTGCTTGAAAGTATAACGGCTACTTGAAGATATAATAGGCAGTTTCTGATGAAATGTTTATGTTTTACTTATAGGAACGTTCGTCACGATGTTTGACCTAATTGTGGATTAGTGGTTATTGCATCGTACATACTCGTTCGACTTATTTCACTTGTCAAATTTATGAAATATAGGTATTCCAGACTGATGTTAACCAATTTACAGTCACTGAACTAACTCTTGCTGCAACATGAGTTTCTTATTGATCTTTACTGCCTATGACAAATACAAATTTATACATAGTAATGCTAATGCGGGCACGGAATTTAACCCATACTTACAAGTGTGCTCCAAATTGTTGCAGTTTCTAACTCAGATTGAGGCTGCCATAAAACGTGATTATCTGTCAGCAGATTTTGAGACAACAGAAGAGCTGTTGCGCTACTGTGCCTCATCAATAGGTGCTTATTATGAATTTGCCCATCCTGGATCCATTCCCCAACTTCCTTGGATTCCAAAAACTACCGCTTCTGTGGCTATGAAGCTTTTGGAGTTGGATGCCTCTATTTCCTATGTTAAACAGAAAAAGGCTGAACCTCACGATGCAGAGAAAGTGGAGCCTCTTCCAGTTGAGTCTCTTCTAGCACACTTGCACAAACATTTTTTGCAAGGTTTTATTATGATGTACCTATTCTTTTATTTTGTCATATATGGAAGCATTATAGTCTTAAAAATCACATATTAAAACATTGATTGATGACTACAAAGATCTTTTCTATCTCCCATATCTTTGAAGTAATTCATGCTTAAAGTTCGTCCTTGTTGTATGCAGAAGTTGAAGTATGCTAACACAAAGGATATCCAAATAGCTGAAACATCAGAATTTGATCAACATGGACCTAAAAAACAGGAAAACTGGGATCGTCTGCGTCGTACTAGTGGCAGCTCAGGGTATAGGCAGATGGTTCGTAGACGGGGAAGTGGTTGGACACATGGAAAGTCTCGGAAAAGAACTGCTGGTTCAACAGTAGAATCTGGCAGGCATATTATGAGACAAGGTGAGACGTTGACTCAGGTGCTTATGCAGCAGGGGGAGAGAATTCATGGACAGATGCAGATACGGGGTCCACGAACTCTTAGAAAGAGGAGAACAGAGAAAAAGGTTTTTGCAGGGACATTCTCAGATTACTTGCATGACAAGGATGCCCTTAAGAATGTTGTGGGAAAACCAGCGGTGACTTTGAATACTGCAAATATTGAAGGCGAAAATGATGGCAGTAGCAACAGCATGGAAGCAGATGATTTTGCTGATAGTGCCAATGGAAGCCATTATGAGTTCGAGAAATGGGGAGCAGGTTATGACGTTTCCCCATACGGAGATAATATGATGGTGGAAAGGAGCGACGAGGATGCAAATGAAATTAATGAAAATAATGGTTATGATGAGGAGGGTGCTGAAAACATGGAGGAGGATTTGGCGATGAATGCTTATGATTCTGAAAGGAGTAGCTATGATGGCTCGGATTCTCAAATCTCTGGAGATTATAGTGACTGACGTTACAAATTTTTGGGTTAACTCAACTTACAGAAGTTTGGTTCCTTGGGTTACAATGCAATAGTCTTACTGTACTGTAGGCATTCTTTTGGAACTCTAGCATTCATTGAGGATGATGCTTGTCCTGTGAAATATTATATAGGAAATGGGATAGAGTCAAATTAGAGTATATGAGAAAGATGATCAATTTTGCAATGCAATGGGCAGATTATATCCAATGAGCGGATATAATGTCACAATTCTGTTGAAGACATTATTTAAAAGAGTAGATGGGTTCCCTTCAGCTTTTAGACGAGGCGATAACATGGTATTCGAGCTATACTATTTTGGGTTTTGAGTTTTTGCAGTTGGACAAATTAATACAAAATGCATGAAGGAACGTATGTATTAACAAAGATGTTGTAATTATGTAGTCTTCATTATTTGGTATAATGCTCGCACTTCATTCTATGTTAACGTATTGCAACTTGTGGACAAACACTACAAGATGCACCAGTCAGACGGGGTAGGTTAAGCTTGGAGTGTAGAAGCATTGAGTCGAGGACATCGTCTTGTATTGAAACGAGAATACTAGTTGACAAGGAAGAGTTCATTTCAACGGAAGTATCACCCTAAATGGGTGGAAGCGACTTCTTAGGCATAGAAGAAAAAGAGATAAAGCAGAGTTCATGTTAGTGCCAAAGTAATTCAGAACTATAGCTGGATAAATGAGGATGTTACGTTACCGATGATTTATATAAGAATCAAGATTCTGCTTTGTGCAACTGGGAGTCAATGAAAAAGAGACCACTAGCTAACTAATATTTCCAGCATTAATTTTTCTGATTACAAGCAATATTTAATGGCAAGAAGCAAGCTTATTCGTGTTGTCTTTTTTCTGAACAAGGCATATTAAGGGACACTTACGATGCAACTCAAATGTCTTTCTTAGAAGGGAACTCCCCTAATTCAGACAAAACAAACTAAAAACAAAAAGGGTAAATTTACAAGAAAACATCGTACTGGTGGCAAAGAGTTGCTATTTGGATTAAGGGGCAAGTAGTTTCTTTGTACCGGATTTCTGCTCAGCCGTCAACCTTGTCGGGAACTTTATATTGAATTTGATCCTCAGATTGCCCCTTCTTGAGGGTTCTTTTGGAATAGGCATTCCTTCTTTGGGCACAACCTCTTCATAGCTGGGATGAATAACATTGTTGATGGGTATAGTCAAGGTCCTCCCGTCTAGTGTTGTGAGACGGACAGTGTATCCTGTTAATGCTTCAGCAAGCGATATTTTCATCGTAACAACGAGATCATTACCTTCCCTCGTGAACACGCTATGTGGCTTCTCGTCGACTATGAAAACTAGGTCCGCTGGAACAACATTTGGTTGTTCATTTCCTTTCTCCGGGAATGTGATCTTTGTCCCCTTCTTCCAGCCAGGTTTGATATCAATGGTAAGAATCTCTTCTACAGGTAAGGTCTTCCTGTTCAACAAAGAGCAATTGCCGTTAGAGATCCACTGAATAGACAAAACCCACAAGAGTCGTAGCAAGTAAATATCCAATAAAGTACGTATAGGGCAAGTAAGCAAGCATGATATATAAGAATAACGAACCCACTGGCATCAGCTATTTCTCTGGAGATCTTCATCCTCTTTGTGGTTCCCTTGTAAAGTTCTTCCAGGCTACAAGGCAATGTTTGTTCAATTGGTGGCGCCTTCCTCGGGGCTGAACTCATCTGTCTACCCTCTCCAAATGAACTAAATATATCATCACCAAACATTGAACTAGGAAACCTTGTACCACCACTCCTCATGCCACTACCACCACCCATCCCTCCAAATGGACTCGAAAAACCAAAGAATTCAGCAAAAATATCATTGGCATTTCTCGGATTGAAATGAAATACGTTCGGTCCATCTCCTGTCTGGAAAAATGTAGCACCTCCAGGACCAGCACCACCAGCACCTGGCGGCGGCACTTGACCTTTTAGGCCTTCTTCACCATATTGATCATAGATGGCCCGCTTCTGGGAATCACTTAAAACCTTATGACAGAAAAAAATAAATAAATCATCAGATTCCAAGTCACGCATGTTTCATCCCCAATAATGCATTATTAACACAGTTTAAAATAATTTCAATTGCATCCGTTGCAGCCATATGCTTTACCTAATAAAACACAGATAGAACATCTTCTTGAAGATAAAAATTCAACTAGTGATTAATTCAAGAAACCTGCGACCCAAACCCAAATTTGAAAATAAGGTGATAAGATCTAGATTGATCATTCAAAGAAACACAGCCAATACATACCGATTCCGTGTGTCTGATTTAACATTTTTACATAACTTACATCATAAAAGCGATTTAAATAAACAAAAATCTACAGAATTCCAACAAAAAATCTCAATCTTAGTGGCAGTTAGCAACTCTACTAAATGAGGTCTAGCCATCAAGACATATATCTTAAGAATGAAAAACACTATTGGCAAAATTCAAAATAATTACAAGAAACATATTGATAAAACGCAGAAACATCATATAAGTCACTGAAATCCAACATGATTAAGTAAATATCTTAAAAAATGTGCACATACACATTAAAGAGACAGATATTAGGGTAGGTACCTCGTAGGCTTCAGAAATTTCTTTGAATTTTGCCTCAGCTTCTTTCTTGTTGTTGGGATTCTTATCAGGGTGCCATTTCATGGCCAGTTTTCTATAAGCTTTCTTCAAATCCTCATCTGTTGCGTTCTTATCCACCTGCAATATCTTATAGTAATCCACACCCATGACTTGTTATTTCTTCTTCTTCTCTATGTACTCTGTTCTATCAGTCACTAATTTCTTTCATGCTAAAACTCTTATATATTATTTTTCTTTTGTTCGCTGAGAAATAGAGAGGGAGAGATTAGTCTGGAAGCACGGTGGACCCAGAAATTTGTGGAACTTTCGAGATTTCGGATTAATTTGGTTGGGCCAGAATCGGGCCTGATCCATAACCAACAACCACTCGGACTGGTTTTACTTCATCAGGTAGGCAGTGGGCTTCTGGCTAGCTATCTGTTATCGGCTTTGGACTATTTTCATCAACTTTTCCCAAATTTAGACCAATAAACTAGTGGGAATTATGCGAGCTACACGTTTCTTAATAAAATTTCTATAATTACGTGTTAAAAGAATTTTATCCCACAAATACTACAATATTGTGATAAAAAAAAGAAAAACATTAAATCGCTTTACTCCTAAGATAATCAATCGGCAACTGATTTTACTCCATCGAGCAAGCTCCTCGGAGACGTTAATCAAGGTCAAAATCCCCCAATTGGTGACTCTTCATATTCGCTTGTATTCAACTTCATCTAGAGTCCTCTCAAGAAATCTGAAAATGAGGGTTGAATGCCATATGTATCTAATTGTAAATACATTGCTTTATACATTTTCATAATTGAAATTGGAACAAGCATCTATAGCGTACGAAATTAGGAAGATTTGTTACAGCACCGGCAAGCTCTTGATAACTGTAATAGAGATGATACACGTGCGTATGGTTCAAACGAAAATGCATGTCATTGTCCACCATCAATTTTGAATTTCACCATTGATTTTGGAATGGACATTAATGAGAAGCGTAATTTTTGGGGATATTCAAAAAATTCCTATCACAACATCTTGCTTGGAGTCTATTTTTAGAACATGGTATTAATAAATATATTCCATATACATTCAAAGTATCTCTAGTTAAATTTTCATGTAAAATATGAAATATTTTTTTCGTAACGATGCAAATACGAATTTTGGAAATTACGCAAGCTACATGTTTTTTAGTAATATTTATATAATTACACATTAAAAAATTTTATCCCACAAATACTACAATATTAAGTATCGATAAGATAGTGTAACATTATATTATACAATATAATAATATAAAGGGTGACAATATTGCCGTCACGAAAATTTTCCATTCCACTACATTTTTAAATAATTTTCTTATTTACAAAAATAGACATAAAATAACCAATTAACAATTTTTTCTTTAATTCTTATGCACTTCAACTTAATTATATTTACTTGACTAAAGTTCAGTGGCCATGGATTAACTTTACTTTGTTGACTTAGCAAAACGCGTGGAGATTTTCATTACTTTTAATGGCTGCATTATCCTTTTTTTAATTGGTTGAATGGAAGGGATAAGAGAGTGGCCTAAATACTCGCAAAATAAAATATAGCGACGTGATTGCTCTGAATTAAAATTTAGTAGTTTAGTTGCAAGTAATGGTAAAGTTCAATGATTGCAGGTGAAATTTATCCCATTGTTGACCTTAAGCTGATAATGAGACATCAACCTGCTGGATATATTCATAAAATTCAACCTTGTAGTCATCGTCTGATAATTCCTCAATTATTTACAGTCTAAGGGACCATTCTTCTAGCAAACTATAAGCATATAAAATGCTTAATTTTTACTCTTAAGAACAATGTGAAAGCAATTGAGGAAAATTACTTACCAACCTTAAAAATAACTTATAGTATTTACAAACAAAAGACTTAAATTCTTCCCTTAATTGCAAGTAATTTCTCACTGAATAGACCTAACACCTAACTACTAAATTACTATAGCATCCATATAGAATTTTTGGATTATATAAAAATCAATAATGCTGAGTGTACATTATTTGATGTATGCTTTCTTTTGATATCATCCATGTTTTCAAAAAATTGTGGACGGATTGTACTGCCACGTGGTACAATATGTTAATGATATACATGTAGCATGATTGTATAAAAATTCATTAAACTTATTGTCTTGTAACTAACATTAAATTGCTCCAATGATAAATAAGCACAAACCAACAGACTTTCCAATGTTCCACTTGATTAAAGATTAGAAATCAACACAAAAGAAACTTTTTACCATTTTCTGGGATTCATTTTTCTGATCTTCTAAGAAATACATTTTGCAACACCATAGTTATGAAGGTATGTATATATTTATTTCACCTTAATTTCACTGATTCTATTTATTTGTTTTCCAGATTCACTTTGAAGAACATGTTCTTGCCTTTGCTTATTACAATTCACTGATTCCTTGTATTTGGCTTTGTTGGTTATAACTCTTGCATAGGAGACGAATTAACTTTCTTCCTGTTTTAGTATTGTAATAACTTGTTCATCGGCTCGAGCAGCTGTTCTAAGTTAATCGGTTCGACTATTGTTTGATCAATGGTTGCCTCAGGAAAACGAGATCCCTAGTGGATGGCCACTTGGTCTAGGAAACATGAAAATGAGATTTAGAGTGGCAGAGACCTATCAGAATGCAACAACGGAACCTTACATTTCTCGTCCAATACGCTCGTCCAGATTCTCTTCATTCTTATCTTCCTATCTTGATACTGAGGTAACATCTTTGAAACACTATTCATGTTCAGACAGCTTTTTATAAGCTAAGTCCCTTTATTTATTATACTCATTTTCAACCACATATTCACACTATAAGATATTTTACACGTAAACTCAAAACTTTTCCCTATTTTTTAACCGCACATTTTTCAAAAAATACTATTCAAAACTATGTTTTTAAAATTTTAAGGGCACCAAAAGGGGATAAATATGTTGCTTCTTTGATGCTATTCTAGTCCACATCTTCGTTCTTCCCCTACCGGAGTGTGCCCCTAGGCCGTTTGATTGGAATTCAACCCAGGAACAGAGGAAACTCGTACTACCCAAATGTAGTCCTCAACCAACATGGGAACTTATCCGTTACGAGGTCCGATCAAGATGAATTTGAGGATCAAGACAATAGTCAAGGACTCTGTGTTACCCTTCTTCATAATGTAATGGGGAAGATGGGCAGAAGTGGAAGCAGCACAAGGCATTAATGTCCTACGGTTGTTCAACAATGGATTTCTTCCTTTTATTGAGTGAATAACTACTTCTTTATATACTGATTTGTCACTTTCTGATTTGGATGAAATTCCACTAAGTTGAGAACATGAATATAATCTACCTGGTGAACATATTTGTCCCATACAAATTGAAAATGGTAACAAGATGCAGAGAAAGTTAAGAGGCTGCTCCACTACTACAGCTCGGATTTTTCACCTTTCCACATATGACAGAAACTATGTAAGGCGTACTTAAGGCCAATCATTTTTACATACCGACAATCAAAACTAAAATTAGATTAGCCCTATCACATGCTAATTAACTTCACAAGAGAAACAAACTAATTCAACCAAATCCCCGTACCAAAACTCGACAGTCACAAGGTAACGAGTTCTCCAATTGGAAAAGCATAAGCAGAGTAAGCACGTTCAAATTATTCAACAACATTTACCAGCTCATACTCGATAAGGGATAGATTGTTATCCTCTTTGACCTCAAACTTTGCAGGTTCGGTTACCTCAATGCGGCCCCATTTATCAACAGCTAGCCTCATAGACCCTTTGAACATGTCAATTTTCGCATTCCGGAGAATTACAGTGTTATCTGGCTTCATCATGTCAACTGCATCGAAAATGAGCCGCTCATTACCAAAAAGCCCAGTCGAACAATTCACAGTGGATTTACACGCTCACGTATAATAAGCAGGCATTTAATCAAAGTTATAACAACAAGGTGAACTTGCATAGATTATTCAGGTGAACTGAAATAATCCCACGAGCAATTCGAATAATAATCATTGTATAAGCAGAAGGAATCATGTTTTCAATGAATTTCAGGCTTCAAAATATGAATATCCATGTCCAAAATATGCTGTTACACACATTCCTACCAGAACTGCAAAAGGATACTATGATTCTCAAGGATATTAGTAAAATAAGTCGTCCTCATTAATATGGTAGCAGAGGTAGGGAGCCTGAAATTTCACTGGAAGTTCCAATATTATGAATCAACTAAACTTACACAGATACTTGTGACCGAAAAACAGCAACAAGAAGAAAACTTGGCTAAAATTTTATTGTGTACAAGACTTAAGTTTTCGTTAAAAACAATTCCTACCAATTTACTAAATTCCAAGCAATGAAATCTCAAACGACCGATACATGTTCTTCCTCCATAAAAGTTAAATTGTGTTATTATTGACCATTTCTTCATTTGGTACTCTATGCAGAATTTCATACAAAAATAACAATTAACATAAAAAATGCCTTGAGAAAAATTTGTTCGAGCAAGAGAGGGGACCTTGATCGTTACGTGCAGTGAAAAGGATGGTTCCAGTTTCATCACCAACAAGGCACTCAGCAATAGAGGTGTTCTGGTTTTGGGGCCCACGGGACGACATCGAATTGCGGGGCTTCTTGTTGAGTACGGTATTGGAATTCAATACCTTGACGACAAGTGTGTGGCCGTTGGTCCCTGGCTTCAGAGATTCAACCTTCACAAACATCGGCTTTCGAAGTCCGGGCTTTGCGGTGGTTCCATCGGGCTGTTGCGTTGTCGTTGCCATCAATAGAGAGAGAATCAACTGGAGTGTGTTTTGACGGCGGTCGAAATGTTAACCCTAATCCAGGGTTAACAAGATAGAAAAGCAAGAGTAGGTGAGAAAACGAAAGGAAAACAAACGCAAGTCAAGTACTTTTCAACGCTATAACAACAATTTTGGGAAAAAAAAATCGTATCTAAGGCTTAACTTTACGCGAATTCAATTTTAAGAGAATATGTTTATATTTTCAAAATTCTGGTACTAATTAAAATTCTATTCATTAAATAAATAATTATATATAAAATAATATCAATCTCTTTCAGTTCGGGCCACAATCATCGTTGTCTACTCATCTGTTTTGTTGTTATTCCCTCTTATAGTTGTAGGCATCCACTCTCACAATCACCAACATCTAAATAACTTTGTCGAAAAAAAAGATAGAATCTATAAAGATCGTCGACAACTAAGTATTTTCTTTAGCGACGAACTGATCGTCACTCGGTAGCTATTGAGCATCACCGACTTAGATAATAGAGAGAGGGGGAGAAATATAGCAACCTTTGAGGAGCATAGGCCGAGCATCGTTGACGACTAATCATCTTCTTCTACGACGACTGAGCGGAATCTAATTTTTTAAATTGAAAATAGCCTCTCATGTAATATATAGAAGACTCACCGAATCAATAACTTCAATTTTTTGGGCTGAAATCTAATTAATTGAATTTGTGACCAGTTTGAAGAAATCAATGTCATCTAACCAATTCTCTTGAATTTACTGCCTTTGATATTATTTCAATGGCATGTGGTCAATTCTCGTGGATTTGCGATCTGTAGATATTAATCTGTTACCTATGAATGATGACACGTGACCAATTAATATTGACATGTTAACATTTGTGACATACAATATGACATGTGATTTGTGAATGGTGACGTGTAACATGTGATCAATTAATATTGTCATGTGAACTATAACCTGTGATTTGTGGACATATATGACCTATGAAATATGATTTGTGACATGTAAACTATATGTGTGACCTATGAACTATAACCTATGACATGTAAACATATGTGATATGTGAACTATAATATGTGACCAATTAATATTGACATATGAATATAAACCAATGATCCGTGACCCGTAACAAGTGAACAAAGACATGTGACATGTTATCAATTTCAAATTAACCCAACTTATTGGTTACAACCCTTGTTTATACAACTTCAATCCAATCCAAACCTAGCACCACCATCACATCGCTTCGAATAAAAAAACCATCAATAAACCAATCCACCTCCACCAGGACTTATGAGCGATGGCAAAGAAACAGAAATTAAGTCAGCAAAGTGCATAAAGAAATCCTACACTACCTATGACAACTTCTGAGAGAGAGAGAGAGAGAGGGGGGGGAGATAATGGAATAATGAAGAGGAAAAAAATGGGTAGAGAGAGAAACTAAAACTTGGACAGAGAACTAGAGAGGGAAATGTAAATCCGTGAGAGAAATTAAATGATAGAAAGAGAAAAGAGATACTATATTAGGGTGGGTTGGGATTGTTAAAAAATTTCGTAATATAATTATTAATATTAATAGTTGAATTATGACCTGATTTCTAATTAACTAAACCATTTTAGCACTGTAATATTTAAAAACAAGCTGTAGTGTAATTTACACAATAATTTATTAAGTGGAAATTATACCCAACCAGAATTTTAAAGATCCAATTTCAAAAATCAGATCTAAAATGTATTTATATAAAAATCAGATATTAATTCAAATCTTTAATATTAATAATATCCAATATCATCTCTCTTTCCTCTATCTCATCTCTAAATCATAACTACCCAAGCCCTAAAAATCCCAAATCATTGATCCACATCTTTTCTTTCTCTCTCTCTCCGACGGCTCCAACATCAACATGTAGAAGAAAGGCTGCTCCTGCTCCGGCTCCGGCATTCGCTATTAGTTTGGGCACACAACAGCTGCACATGATCGGCGCAACAACGCCTCACAACGACAACAACACCATTGTGCAAAACCAACATTTAGTACCAGTGGTTTGAGGCTTTTATTTTCATCGTATGTTGAACCATCAATGGATTGATCGCGATAATCGTGTGTAGAACCGTCGCGACGATCGTGTGTAGAAACATATTTCCATTTTCTCATGTTGGATTTGAGGTGGTCGTGGTGGTGATTGTTGAAATAGGCGGTGGTGGTCGTGGGGGCGGCGGCAACAGTTGTGGTGAAGTCAAGTCTGAAGATTATGTAGTAGTGGTGGTCTGGTGTGGTGGGGATGGTGGTTGTGATTCTTGGTATGGCCGCGACGACGATGATGGTGCTAACCGTGATGATGGGAACATGGTAGTGGCAAAGATGGTAGTTATGGTGCTGGAGGTGACGATGATGGTGGTAGTGGCGGTGGAGTCATGGTGTTGGAGATGTTTATGTGGTGGTGGCGTTGGTAGAGGTAGGTGGACTTTGGAGTTGGTGTGGTAGTAGATTTGGAATTGTTGACAGTGGTGAGGTGGTGGTCACAAACAGTTATTGTACAGGGCGGTGGTGATAGCATCGTGGTGTTGGTGTCGGCAGCGGTCGAGTAGGACCAATAGTGTTCGTAATCAATAATTTGGTTGATTGTAACCTATAAATTGGATAATTTGACCAATATATAATATGTGACATAAAAATGTGATTATGACTCACAATTTACTAAGTCGTGATTGAAAAATAACTTGTAACCAATTAATTTGACAATTTGTGACCCTTAAATAAGTTATGACTTATAAAATTTATAATCTATGACCGATAAATGAATTGTAATCTATGAACACTTTGATATTTTAACAAATAAATAAATTGTGGCTTATAAGATTTTTTGATTTGTGATCGAAGAAATAAATTGACTTATAAAAATTTTTATTTGTGATCGAAAAATAATTTGTAACCCATAATTTTTTAAAATAGTGATCGAGAAAAAAATATAATCAATTAATTCGAGAATTTGTGACCAAATTATCTGGAATTGTGACATTAATATATTTTATTAATAAATAACATTTAATAAATGTCTGATTTTTGAAATTTTAANTTCAACCACACATTCTTCAATAAAATAATATTTTCCATCACATCAATAATTTTTTTTCTTTTTCAACCACACATTTTCCATCATATCACTACTCAAAAATCAATTCTTCCCCCAAAAATCTCTACCAAACACACTCTATATAAAATTATGATCTTAAGCCCCGTTTGGTACACATTAAAATTTTCATTCCCATTTTTCTACTTATTTTCAACAACACATTTTTCAATAAAATAATATTTTCTATCACATCAATAACTTTTCCTTTTTTCAACCACACATTCTCCATCAATCTACTATTCCAGAATACATTCTTCCAAAATAATGTGGCTCAAACACACCTTTAATATATTTAATTAATAAATTAATAAATAAATATCTGATTTTTGAAATTTAGACCTTTTATCTTAGTTTTGAAATGAGTGATAGTTAAACTTTTATTTAGGGTAGTCAATCGCCGATTCGGGTGGCCCATGGCTCAGCCTGAAAAAAGTTCGAGCCGGGCCATTTTGGGGCATTGGCCCAGCCCGGGCCGGACCTTAAAAAATATTTAAAAAAAAACCCCTTTCCAGGCAGCAACCTCTTTTTTTTAAAAAAAAAAAAAGGCAGCTACACGCTGCCTTGTGTAGCTTCGGCGTGCTTTTAAAAAAAAATTAAAAAGACAAACGGCATGCCTGCTTAGAAAAAACAAGTTCTTAAGCAGGCTCGAGCTGAAAGCTCGAGTCAAACCTAATTTTTTTGGCCGAGCCAAAGCTCGGCTTGGCTCGGACAAAAAAAATTCGAACAATTTTTATTCGAGCCGAGCCCGAACCTCAAGTTTCAGCTCAACTCGACTCGTTGACACTCCTACTCTTATTTATGAATGTTTCTCATTTATTAAATAAAGTGGGAATTACATCCCATCAGAATTTTAAACTTTACATTTCAAAATTAAGATTTACAAGTTTTTATTTCAAAAATCAGATGATAATTGAAATTTTAAATATCATTAATTATATTACAAAATTAAATATACATATTCATCCTACCTAACCCATACCCAACCACCCACACCAAAACCCTAATTATTTTAATCTTCTCCATTTTCTCTCCTCTTTCTATTGTACGTTTTCTTATCTCTCTAGGCTTCACGGGAAAACATCACCGCCACCACATCGTCGACACCACATCGCCACTATCACACTCAACCACTTCACCATCTCTACCGCACCACAACCATCAAGAAAATTCCCAAACATGTAGCATCCGCCGACGCCGCCACTACCACCACCACCACCACAACCACAAATATTCATAGACCCGCAGCCGCAACAACATACGACGTAGCGACGATGAGAAAAAGATCACTGATTCGCATGAGGCGACGGGGGGATGCGCATCGTCACTGCTTCATGCCATGGATGGATCGAAACCAAGTTTTACATGGAGGTTGTGAATGACCCTTGAAAGCCCTACTACTATTTTACTGTAAATCTTCCAGAAATTGAATCTGTAGGGCAACAATTGGAGACGAAGAGGGACAACAGGTCCTGCGGTACTGGATGTGGCAGTGTTGGTTTGTGTGTCCAGGAGGTGATGTGGTTGTTGCGGTGAGTTGTGTGTGGTGATATTGTGGTTGATTTAGCGGAGGTGGAGTTAGTGCCAGCGGCAGATTTGGGAATTGTTTTGGTGGGGGTTGTGGTTTTGGAGTGGTAAGTTGGTGGTGATGGTGTTGGTTGCAGTGTTTGAGATAGTGGTTTTACTGTCGGGAGGTGGTGGTGGTTCTAGCGACAGCGGTGCAGTGGCTAGACGGTGTTGGTGCTGCTAGTAGGTGTTGGTGGCGATGGGTTTGTCGAGGTGGTGGCGAATCTGGCACGACGATGTGGTGGTGTTTTTTCTGCGATGTGTTCATTTGTTTGAGATGGTGTTGCTAGCGAGGGGTGGTGGTGGTT